GACTCAAAGGCCGGGTAAAGACGATGGTGCTGAAATCAGATTGATATTGGTTTTTCTCTTTATAAGGGGCCTAGTTACCCTTCACTAGAGCTATTTGATATACATATTTTTTCTTTTTTTTGCACACTGAGACATTTCATAGCATAACAGTGACTCTTGCAAGGCTTCATTCAGTTGTTTTTTTTGTGCTATGCTTTGCCAATAATTCTGCCTCTCTTTCTATCTATCTGTCTGTATGTCTGTCTCTGTCTCTGTCTGTCTGTCTGTCTGTCTGTCTGTCTGTCTCTCTCTCTCTCTGTCTGTCTGTCTCTCTCTCTCTCTCTCTCTCTCTCTCTCTCTCTCTCTCTCTCTCTCTCTCTCTCTCTCTCTCTCTCGTGCATACACACGTCCTGACTATCGGTATGTCTGTCTGTAGTTCTCTCCATAATTATTTCATAAAGTTGTTTTAATATTCTAAACTCATTCGATATTTCTTTTACCAAGAATTCTTTGTACTTTTTTAGTAGCAGCGTAGTTACTTATTACTGTCATCATAAATCAACATTTTGTTAAATTAACAATGTTGTTTTCATAGTAATTTTCATAAAATTTTAACTGTCCTTTACAAAATCTGCGTCAATATCACCGTCAGTATTTTTGTCATTATGAATATACTTAAAACAATCATACAATTGCAAAGCGGGGAAAGCGTAAAAAACACTCCAATTTGCGTGTCTCCTGCAACATTATTGCGCTGATCTTCTTAAAGTACAAGAAATGTAAATGAAGCGATTCTGGAAGTGTTGAGGGCGCGTCTTACGCATTAGAAAAATTATTACATTTTTCTAAAAGATACTTTCAACAATGTATTGCCTAGTGATACATACATACATACATACATACATACATACATACATACATACATACATACATACCTACATGCATACATACATAGAAAAATATAGATAGATAAATACATAGAAAAATATTGATAGATAGATACATAGAAAAAATAGATACATACTTAGAAAAATACAGATAGATAGATACATAGAAAATATAGATAGATAAATAAGTAGATAGCAGTGGCGTAGATAGAGGGGGTCAGGGGGGCCGGAAAACCCCCCTCTAGAACTAAATTGCCATTTTGTCGGAAAATTGCGAATCTTGTCGGAAAATAATCATGAAGAAACGAAAATGCTTATTAAATTTTTGTTGGAAAATCTACATTTCTCGCCCCCCCCCTATAAAATGTCCTATCTACGCCACTGGTAGATAGATAGAGGGATAGAGACATAGATAGTGATAGATATATAGAAAGATAGATAGACAGATAGATAGATAGACAGATAGATGTAAATAGAT